TATTCCAAGTAATGAGAACCAGAGACTTTCAACCAAGGCTACTTTACCAGCAAGGCTCTCACTCAAGATGGAAGGCCAATTAAGGAGTTTCCCCACACAAAATAAATCTAAAACAATATACCTCCACCAAACCGGCTCTGCAAGAGATGCTAAAGGGACTACTCTAAGGAAAGGAAGGGAAAGACAGAGACAGAAAAGAACACAGGTACAAAAATGGCAATGAATAATAACCTATCAATAATAACCTTAAAGGTAAGTGGATTAAATGCTCTAATCAAAAGACATAGAATAGCTGAATGGATAAGAAAGCATGATCCACACATATGCTGCCTACAAGAGACCCATCTCAGAAAAAAAGGCCTACACAGACTTAAAGTGAATGGCTGGAAATAAATTTCCCAAGCAAACGGACAGGAAAAAAAGACAGGGTAGCAATATTCATATAAGACAAAATAGACTTCAAAAAAAGGGCCATGAAGACAGACCCAAGAGGTCATGTCATAATACTCAAGGGAAGAATCCACCAAGAAAACATAAACATTGTAAACGTGTATGTACCCAACATGGGAGCACCCAAATACATAAAAAAATTCTTAGAGGACTTCAAGAAAGATATTGACACCAACACAATTATAGTAGGAGATTTTAACACCACACTGTCAAAAATTAACAGACCTTCTAAACAAAATATCAAAAAACATATTGTGTCATTGAACAATGCCCTAGATGAAATGGACTTGACTGATATATATAGAGTCCTTCATCCCAAAGAAGCTAAATACATATTATTTTCAAATGCACATGGAACATTTTCAAAGATAGACCATATAAGAGGACACAAAAAAAGCCTCCACATATTTAATAAAATTAAAATCAACCCAAGTACTTTCTCTGACCTCAAGGGACTGAAACTAGAAACCAACACCCCCCAAAAAACCCAAAACACCCAAAATCATGGAGACTGAATGGTATGCTATTAAAGAATGAATGGGTCAAGAATGAAATTAGGAAAGAAATCAAAACATTTCTGCAAACAAATGAAAATAAACTCATAACAATTCAAAACTTATGGGACACAGTGAAGGCAATCCTGAGAGGGACATTTATAGCAATACAGGCATACCTAAAGAAGACAGAAATATTTCAAACTAACAACCAAACCCTATGCCTCCAGGAACTCGAGGTACAACAACAAAGACAACCCAGAGCAAGTAGAAGGAAATAAGCAAGATGAGAGCAGAATTAAATGACATAGAGACTGAAAGCACAGTTCTAAAAATCAGTGAATCCAGGAGCTGGTTCTTTGAAAGATAAACAAAATCAATGAACCTTTGAGGAGACTCATTAGAAAAAAAAGAGAGAGGACCTAAATAAACACAATCAGAAATGAAAGAGTAGAGATTACAACTGATACCACAGAAATACAAAGGATTGTAAGAAATTACTATGAAGAACTGTATGCCAAGAAATTTGAAAACCTAGGTGAAATGGATAAATTTATACAAAAAGATAATCTTCCAAAACTCACTGAAGAAGCAGAAAGCCTGAAAGACCAATAACAGCACATGAAATTGAAGCGGTAATAAAAAAAAACTCCTGACACACAAAAGCCCTGGACCAGATGGTTTGACAGGAGAATTCTAAAAAGCATTTAAGGAAGAGCTAACCCCTATCCTTCCTGGACTATTCCAAAAAATCCAAAATGATGGAAGGCTCCCAAACTCTTTTCATGAAGTGAGCATCGTCCTAAACCCAAAACCAGAAAAATATGCAACAAAGAAAGAAAACTTCAGGCCTATATTGTTGATGAACATACACACTAAAATCCTCAAAAAATATTGGCAAACTGCATTCAACAATGTATTAAAAAGATCATACACCATGACCAAGTGGGATTCATCCCAGGGATGCAAGGATGGTTCAATATTCGCAAATCAGTAAATGGAATACATCACATAAACAAAAGCAAAGACAAAGCAAAATCACATGATCATATCAATAGATGCGGGAAAACCTTTCGATAAGGTACAACACCCATTTATGATAAAAACACTCAGCAAGTTTAGTGGTGCGGGTGTGGGGTGGAGTAGAAGGAGGAAATTGGAATCACAACTCTACTGTCAAAGGTTCCTACATCTGAAAGAACATTCCACAGGAGGCTGGAAATCAGAGTCAAAGTCCATCTAATCAATCTAAATATCAGATTTCTTATCTGAAAAATGAGAAGGCTGAATTTTATGATCTCTAACTAGTCTAAAAGTAGAACTTTTGTGATGTGAGGTAGGTTTATGTAGAAGTGCAGAGGCAAACACAAAGAGCTAAGAAGGTGGGAAGCAAAATGTTACTATGGTGATCAGAAAACCACTGTGAGCCCTGGCTGGTATAGATCAGTAGATTGAGAGCGGGCCTGCAAATCAAAGGATTGCAGCTCGATTCCCAGTCAGGGCACATGCCTGGGTTGCAGGCCAGTTCCCAGCAGGGGACACACGAGAGGCAACCATACATTAATATTTCTCTCCCTCTCTCCTTCCCTTCTCCTGTAAAGATAAATAAATAATAAAAAAGAAAAAAAGAAAACCACTGTGAGAGAAAAGAGGGAAGGAACTAAAGAAAATGCCTCCATAACTCTAATTATGTCAAAAGATTAACTAAATGCATTAAAAAGAGAAATTATAGTTGTACAGAAAAATCATACTAATGCTTCAGATGTAAAGAGTCCATAAATAGAAATAAAGAAGAATTCTAGAATCACATTGGGTCACCACTTTCCTCAAAACTGTATTAAAAATTAAAATGAAACTACTTTTGCACAAAGAAATAATGATCTTAAAATTGAAAGGGTGATAGCAGTGTTGATGGATTTCCTGGCCAATGGAAAATACTGACTTCCATGTGTTTGGTTAAGAGCACTAACCAAACTAGTGATACAGGGTGCAGCCGGGGGGGGGGGGGGGGGGGGGGGGGGCAAAAAAAGATTTGGAATGGTGTCCAGAATTCAAAGTATATAGGAATATTGGAGAGACATATAAGATGTCCTCACGGGCCCCCCCAAGGGACCAATAGAGCAGGGCCATTGAGAGCTGTTTTGCATAACAAGTTTTGTAGCTAACCCCTAGAATGGCCATTTAACATATCTATAACCTTTAACTGGTTTCATAGATATGTTAAATAGCTGTGGCCAAGTTTTGAGCCAGAGCGACGGGAGTGGCTTCTACCCAGGATGGAACTAGGGCCTGCGGCCCAGAGTGAGAGGGCCTGTATGAGAGCTTGGAAAAGACTGGCTCCGGGAAATGAAGGGTCCCCACTTGGCCAGGTGAAGACAGAGCCATGCGGTTTGGGGCAGAGTGAGGACCCCCTCTTGGTTAGGTGAAAGAGGGAGCCACATAGTTTTGGCAGAGTGCGGACCCCCTCTTTCCCAGTTGAAAGGGAAAACCATGCAGCTTTGCCAGAATGAATATCCCTGCAGCCAGGAGAAGAACAAAGCCACATGCTTTTGGTGGAGTGTGAACCCCTACAGCTTTGGTAGAAGAGGCCCACTCGGCTTTGGGGTGCCCCCTTTGGCCGCGTGGCCTGGAAAGCAAGAGAGACTTTGACTGGAACTGGGTACAAAGAACTCTTGCCAGTGGACCATGAAAGGGTACCACAGTATTTTGGGTTAACTAGAGATCCTGCACAGTGACACAGCTGATGGTGCCAGCGGCCTGAAACACAGACATGTGCTCTTTTCCTGATTTAAGGTACCCGGAGTTGGGACAGTGGGAGAAGGGAGTGCTGTGTGGTTGTAGGTGTATACCCTAAAGGACTTTGATATTTTAGTGGAGGTGTTAGGCCTGAATAGCATTAAATAAACATTTTGTTTCTTTTTCACAAATCTCTGGCATTGAAAGATATCTTTCCAATTGGCGGCGGACAGAAGAGCCCAGTAGATATTAGTATTTTGTCCTTGGGAGGGGCCCCTGTTCTTGAGCAGTTTTTGGCATCCCTAGGTAGGCCAGTATTGTACCCACCTCAGACCTCTTTTTCTGTAACACTAGGGTTTGCAAGAACAATTATAAAGGACACATGGACAATAACAAGGTGGCAGTGGGGGTGGTGCGGAAACAAGGGAGGGAAGTGGGAAGAGCTGGGGTGGTAGGGAGAGATGGGAGGGAAAGGCAGAAAACTGTACTTGAACACCAATAAAAAATGTTTAAAAGAAGAGTGCTGCACTAAAAGAATTTTACTACAGTAAAATTCACTTCATTATTCAAGAGAAACTATATAGTATCTAGCATGTGCTTCTGCTGGATGTGAGAAGGGACACAATGATGAAAAAGATACCTATACCCTAACACAACATAATACAAAACATATGACAAATACATGAGTAAACACAGTCTTATATGATACAACTGGGTTAAGCAAAAGTTAGGGGTTTGAAAGAAGAGTTAAGAGTTTTTGTGTTTGTTTTTATTTTTGAAAGATAGCAGTTCCTTCACATATTCATTGACACTACCAAAGTCAAGAATTTCTAAGGACAAGTTTAGATGCTTAATAAAGAACAGCAGTCCCTGAACCATCTGCTTTGCTCGAAATTAAAGATCTGTCACAGGCAAATTTTCATTTTACTCCAACCCTGTGAGAATATTATTGTCAACTGGGGTAGGTAACATTTGGTTTGTCACTGACATGGTGAACAAACTATACTTTCTAAAATGGCTACCATCAGTGCCTCTTTTGGGTGAAAAAAAGAAAAAAAGGCAAACTATCCTGAGTCCAATAGTTACTCACTTTCAGCAAGTTTCTTTTTTCCTTTCAAGTGTCCTGTCACTAATCTTCTGATGAAGAAATGTACAAAGCACAGCATCTAAAGTGAACAACAGAACTTTGTTACAGTCAGACAAAGATACGTGACAGAATACCCTGAAAGGTTTTTTTAAGGAAATCATTTTGCAAACTCATTCCATTAAAAAGAAAACTGCAGATAATAGTAGCCCAATACTATATAATTTTCCTCTTACCTGGTAAGGAACAATACTGCCATGAGCTGTGCCCCAACGTTCTGCTTCCTTTTGGGCAATAAGATAATTAGCAGCTACCTGGGTTAAACATGCCACCTACCAGGAAAAAAAACAAAACAAAAAGCTAATGTATCTATACTCACTCATTACCAAAAGGTTATAATATGAAAGTTCTAATTTGATTTTACTTTATGTCATTGTAGAAGAAAAAAGAGAAAAACTCCGAACAGGTTAGAAATACACAGGTATACATACTTTCAACATACAAAGAAAGGAAGAACAGTATTACATTATTGCATGAGTCTAAGTACTGAGTGACAATCACCTAAGACATATAAACACAGAAACAGTTAGTTCCTGAAAAAAATCATCGAAGGCAGAGGTTGACCCAGCAAACAGATCCTGGTCGAGCCTTTACCATCAAAGCCTACATCAGCAACCTGTGCATTCCTATCCCCTCTCCACCTGTCCTTTTACCTTTCATCAAATTGACACAAAAAGAGACTGTGTCATCACTGAGTAGGTGAACCAAAGCCAGGGGCCACATTCCTCTAAACTCATCATAAATAAATAAATAGGACTTTATTTTGTTCAATTTAGTCAAGTTTTCTATTACTTGCTGCCCAAAACATTTTTACTAATACAAAGGATCAAGATTATTTGACGTTTTTGTGCATGGGTAAATGATCCTCATTTAAACAAAAATTACTGTACCTTTCCCAACTTGCTTCTGACCCCATGCCTTAAAGAAGCATAGTTCAATTAAAGTGGTCATCTAAAACTTCTGATTCTTGTAATATTTCATATACAAATCTTGAAAAACCCCAAGTTCAATTCCACATGAAGATAACATGAAGATAAATGACTTGATTCCTAGAGGTCAGCCACAAAAACTTATGTTCCAGTGAACAGCCATGCATCCAAGGGTCCAAATGACCTAATAACTTTTCAGTTTCCAGGAAAAAAAAAAGCTTCTCAACTCAAAACATAATCAAGATATAGCATGGGCTTGCTTTTCCCATTCTAAATTATCAGATGTGACTGAGAGTCTACCAAGCCAGCAAGTCAAACATGTTCCACATAGACATTGGCTCCTAGAACACCTCAAGGGGTGATATTTCAAGGCTTGGTGCCACAACCTGTTATTGCCCTCAGCTTGGTATGGCAGCTGTGCCTTAGACAAGGGCTACCAGTAGGGCTTGGCCCGAATGCATCTCCTTGCAGCAACAACCATTCTCCTTTAATATATTCTTGGGATTTACACTGACTTTTATGTTCATTTACTGCTCTGTTGAAATTGGAACTGCCTTATGGCAGCTGGTTTGGCTGTACTGCCCAGGTGGCAAAACTAATAAACTTTGAGTCATCTACTTCTAGACCTCCATCTGTTCTGGACATTTGAACCATGGAGCATTCCAAGGCTGCCTGGGGCTGCCTAGTGTTAGTCACCATTTCAAAGATCACTTCTGTGTCTCAAAATGGAAAATCGGATCAACGTTTTGTAGTAAAAATGCACTGGATGGGAGGTCCAGATTCATGATTTCTAATATTGGTCAACCTCTGAGTAGCTGTAAAACTATAGGTATATAATTTAACTACTCTGACCTTCAGATACATTGTCTATAATCTTCAGCATGTAACCTAAACAAATTTTTCCACTCCTATATCAAATCACATTAACACATGAAATCGTAATATATAAGCAGATAATACCCCTATGTGCTCTGACTAAAGCAGAGGCAGGCCTACCATGTTACCTCATCAACATGAACACAGAACACAATTTGCAAAATAGTAAGTGGTCTTAAATTTGCTTCCAAGTTCTCTACACTTCTGACTCTATGATTCTTCTTAAAAGTCTGGCAGATAAAAAGATAGCAGGAATGCAATAGTAGTAATCTTCCTATGAAGGCTTTTCCTGAAATTGGGGAGATATTCTTCAGTCTAAGGCTTTTCTATTTCTTATCTACAAGAAAGGTCCCTCTTTGATTTAGCTATTTTGGGGGTGGGGGGTAGGAGTGCAGGGTGGAGGGAGTTGTTCCTTTCAAATAAATTCTGGTTAAAGCACTAAGGTGCTCTGGTGCTACTGGAGGCAAATAATTCACTTTAATAAAAGTAATTTTTTCCAAGCAATTAATCACAACAGGCTTGGTATTTCCACTTCTCTAATTTCCAAGTCAACTGCTAGTTAACATGTCAACATCAGGAAGGGCTACATGAGGTAGCAGACTGACTGGATGACCACAGGTTAACCTGTGAATACTAGATTGATCCAAGACAACTGCCAGGGGTAGGCATGGGCTAGATTCTACCCTGCTGTCCTCATTTCTTGCCCACTACCACATTCTTTCTTCTCAATTTTGGCCTCTGTGCTCTGTTTGACTTTGCCTTGATGAGCTATCTTCAACAACTATTTAATAAAAATAGCCCAATGTAGAGCTAGTTTGAATGAAAGATCAGTGCTCATATCATATTTCAAAGAATATTTCCTTTCTCCACACAGTTCTGACTCATGAAAACCAAAAACATTTCAGAACTAACTGGGTCCCACTGAGCAGAAAGATTAAATAAGATTTTAAGCCAGTTGTCAGCCAAAAACAAAGGACGATTTGTCAGTAAATATTCAAGTGGCAAAGTCAGGGGAAAAGAAATCTACTTTGGCCTTGGTCAGGTGGCTAAGTTGATTGGAACATCATACTATGTAGTAAAAGTTTCAGGGACTGATTACTGGTCAGGGAACATACCTGGGTGGTGATTTCGATCCTGAGTCAGGCATGAATATGGAGGCAACTAATTGATGTTTCTTTTTCACATTGATGTTTCTGTCTCTGTCTCTCTTTTTCTCCCAATCTCTCTCTACCACCTCACCTCTCCCTTTTTTCCTCCCTCTCTGCCCCCCCTCCATTTCTCTTCCTGTAAAATCAATAAACATAATAAACATATCCTTGGGTGAGGGTTTTAAAAAATTTTACTTTGAAAAAGAGAGCAGCTGGGCTAAACTTAGTAACCCAATGTTTAAAAGGGGTATTACAGATCTGAAAGTAATCTACCATTTATAAGGATGTATTTTAAGGCAGGAGATGGGGGTAAAAGTCAACAGCTATGATGTGATTCTGTATGAAAAATCAGAGGTTTCCTGGCAATTAATGACAAATTTTCCAAAACCAAAAGAACATAGGATGTGACTTTTCAGTTAATAAGTACATACTGTATAGTCACTCTAAATATTGCATTAGATCATTACTTTCATCCCCTAAACTCAGGCTCATTATTTCATCATGTGGATGCTATATAATTTACTCAGAATGCTGCCTTTATATGGATTCATCCAAATAAAAAAAAGCCAACTGTGGTTTAATAATAAATATTCTGACAGCAAAACTATTATTTTAGATAACATAGTGGGTCCTGATAGTCTTTGTGTCTGACCATAAAACCAGTGGGGTGGTCAAAGTGTATCCAAAGGGCACAGTCCCAAAAAGCTTGAGGAATAAGACACCCAATTATTTCCCAAAGCAGCTTCATGGTGTCTGCCACCATATAGTTCACTCCTACCAAATTAGGATCAAGCTGCAATTATAGAATCTTTCATCTCAAAAGTTCAAACAAGTATGACAGGTAAAGTGAAGAAAACAAGACTAGAACTACAGTCCACTGCATCAAAATGGGTAATTCCCCTCACCCCTTCTCTCTGGCATATATTCTGGCCTCTAAGAAAGCTGGACTAAAAACCAATTATGCTTCACTTCTGTACTTGTCCATATCTCTGTCCATTCTTCAAAGTCCATTAAGTGTCAACCAATCCATTAATTTCTCCCATCACCCAAGCAAATAAAATATTTTCCCTGCCTCTGAATAAATATAAGACCTTAATTTCCCTGAGTCCTGATGCATTTTTACAGTCAACCTTTTAATACAATTAGAATTATAAGATGAAAAAGTTAGACCTGGCTGGTGTGGCTCAGTAGATTGAACGCCAATATGTGAACCAAATGGTCGCCAATTCAAATCCCAGTTGGAGCACAGGCCTGAGTTGAAGGCCAAGTTCCCAGTGGATGGTGTTCGAAAGGCAGCCACACATTGACATTTCTCTCCCTCTTTCTCCCTCTCTTTCTCTAAAAATAAATAAATAAAATCTTTAAAAAGAAAGAAAGAAAAAGCTGGAAAGAAAGAAAAAGCTGGTTTTGCACCACAGTTACCTGGGGAATTCCCCAAACTACTGAATCAGACACTCCAAAAATGAAGCCTCAGAGTAAATACTTTAACCAATGCACCATTAATTGCATACAAGATATAACAACCAAAGCCTTAGGAAAGTGTAGTCAAATTCCTTAATATTACAGATACATAAATAAAGGAACAGAGAAGGAAGATTACTTATCTGAGGTCACAGAGATGGCCACTGGCAGAACTTCGAACTACTCCAACTATACTGCCTTTCTCCATGTCACACTATTATTTAAATTGGGATATATCACTACTTTTAAATTGGGCTCTATCTCAGGGTAAAAATTATGTATTATAACCCTTTGTATGTTCTCATAGCACCTAACATAACAGCTTCCATACTAACTTTTTAAACACATGAATAAATTAATACAGGGTGCGGCCAAGGCGGGCGGGGGGGGGGGGGCAAAAAAAAAAATTTGGAATGGTGTCCAGAATTCAAAGTATATAGGAATATTGGAGAGACATATAAGATATCCTCACCCCCCCACCCAGGGCGAAGGGACAAATGGAGCAGGGCCATTGAGAGCTGTTTTGCATAGCAACAGTTCTGCAACTAACCTCTGGAATGATTATTTAACATATCTATAACCTTTAACTGGTTTCATAGATATGTTAAATAGCTGTGGCCAAGTTTTGAGCCAGACAGAAGGGAGTGGCTGCTACCCAGGATGTAACTAGGGGCTGGGCCCCTGAGTGAGAGCGCCTGCATGAGAGCTTGGAAAAAGATGGGCTCTGGGACCTGAGGGGTGACTGCCCAGGTGAGGGGAGAGCCACGAGGTTTGGGGCACAGTGAGGACCCCCTCTTGGTTAGGTGAAAGAGGGAGCCACGTAGTTTTGGCAGAGTGCAGACCCCCTCCTTCCCAGGT